GTTTAAAGTATAGATAATAGTTTAAAGTATAGTTCATAGTTTAAAATATAGTTCATAGTTTAAAGTATAGTTCATAGTTTTAAGTATAGTTCATAGTTTAAAGTATAGATAATAGGTTAAAGTATAGTTCTTAGTTTAAAGTATAGTTCATAGTTTAAAGTATAGTTCTTAGTTTAAAGTATAGATAATAGTTTAAAGTATAGTTCATAGTTTAAAGTATAGTTCATAGTTTAAAATATAGTTCATAGTTTAAAGTATAGTTCATAGTTTTAAGTATAGTTCATAGTTTGAAGTATAGTTCATAGTTTAAAGTATAGTTCTTAGTTTGAAGTATAGATAATAGTTTAAAGTATAGATCATAGTTTAAAGTATATTTCATAGTTTAAAGTATAGTTCATAGTTTAAAGTATAGATCATAGTTCAAATTATAGTTCGTAGTTTAAAAAATAGTTCATAGTTTAACGAATAGTTCATAGTTTAACGAATAGTTCATAGTTTAAAGTATGAAAGGTCTACGAGTGCGACAATGGTATAATTGGATTAGAAAATTCAAGTTTGCGGTAATATAAATCAGTTTCTTTATCTAACATCTCATCAAAGAGTATCTATCTATCAACCACCTGTTTCTAGATTCATACATGAAAATATATAAATACTAGGCTTTTAGGGTACTTCATAATTAGTAAAAATCCTTGATTTTCTTGATCTATCTCTCCCTCTATCTATCTATCCCTTCCTGTGAAATATATTGTAGGTTTACTAAGATTAAGACCCTGAGCTAGACCTAAACCCTGCCACCTTGAGTCCACGTATACAAGATTGATAGGAAAGGGTTTGTGTGGAATGTGAGTGTAAAGAGGAACTCCAGTAATGCTGGGATTTATGCTACGACTAATTAGAATCGACATAATGCACTTGGACTCAGATAGTTTCTAGTTTTACAAATACATTCTCTACACATTCAGACTTTAGCTAGGGAATGCGATAGATATGCCCCTGAGACGGAGGGGTCCTAGTACGGGATTTAAATCAAGGGGGGGGGGGGTTGCAGATGAAAAACGTTCACTTTTTCATCGCACTATACCTTTCCTGGGAAAGGAACTGCGTTTTCGCCACAAACTCTATTTTTCTAATGCCTATATTTTTGCAACCAAAAGTTTGAAATATCATCAGACCATTAGGTTGTAAAGATATAGGGATTAGAAAATTTGAACTTGTGGCAAAGACTTAATTCCTTTGTCAAATTTTTGTTATATGAAACATTTTTTTACTTCGACACACCTTTTGAGAACTAAAATATACATGAAAACGATCGTATTACATAAATCCAACCAGATTATCTTCAACCCTTCCCTGCTCTTCTTCACCCCCCCTATAATATTTGTATGGATTCAAACGCCTGTTGGTTCTGAATTTTGAATATTAGTAATAATCAATATTGCATAATGGAGGACATTGTTTACTATATGGTTAGGTAAAATAAAGTGTAGATTATTTAAACTTTGATTATAAAATAATCAGCATTTACATAAATTGGTTAATTTCACAATGTAGATATTTCAGTGTACATTTAAGGGGGGGAAATATCTATCTATCTCTCAGATCATTTAGTATTGATGTGTACGCCTACAAAATGCCTAATAAATATATGATCCAAATATCGAAGTATAAACAAACCCCTGCGGACTCTGCAGTATGCGTACTGTTTGAACATTACTTCCTCTTGGAATCGAGGTTTCGTGAGATGAGTTGGCTGAGTGTCTATCTTTGTCTATGGTTAATTTTCATAATGTTATGCTTGTAAGAGAATGCTTGAACGAATTTGAAGTTAGCATTACAGGATTAAAGAATTCTGAAACTAAATGAAATTATAAATGAAAAATCAGTGCAAACTCTACACTCAAATACAAACTCTATTTCAATGGCAGTAGTTTTTATCATGAAATCATAAATTATTTCCCAGCACCACCAACACTCTGCATCCTGTAGTATAAGGAGATGCATTTAGAAATTATTTTTTTTTATGTACGACTTTGTGACCCTACAGCTCCTCTAGTTATGATTTTACACACAAGAATAAGAAAAACAAATCTATTCGATTACAAACTAGGAATTTTAAACACATTTGTTGTTCTTCTCCATAGCTCTTCAATAGAGGAGTTATGATTGAAAACAATAATAATAATCCTTTGCGTGCAGTTCACTTTAGTTTTAAGTCACTATAGTTTCAGTAGTAGTAAATATTTCCTTTTACTAATAGCGACAATCAAAGGATCCATAACTCTAATTGGATAATGAGATAAATAGAAAGATAGATGCTACCACCATACTATTTCTATTGGTTCAGAATAGACAAGAAACACATGGCTGAACCGTGATTGGATCATGCGCTAATGGACTCAGCTTACAGGAGTGCAGTATTCACGCGCTCGAATATTTTCTTATATATTTATATTGATTTCTGTATGTATTAGTTTAGCTTTTCTAATATTATCTGATTAATATAAATATATATTAAATTTATAAATATAAAATATATTAAATTGAATTACTACGTACATATACACATACACTACATGCTTTGGTTTCTTTTTACAGTCCATGCAGGAAGAAAATGTAGGTATTTCTTGGTAATAAAAGATAGATAGATAGATAGATAGATAGATAGATAGATAGATAGATAGATAGATAGATAGATAGATAGATAGATAGATAGATAGATAGATAGATAGAAGAAAAGGTTTGGAATAGAAAGGTTTAAAATCAATCAGAGAATTCAATTATTGAGCCGGAATCCTTAGAATTCAATTTCATTCTTTCGCTCAATTTATCATTTTTCGAAATCCCTTTGAAATCTTCCTGCTTGGAAAATAAATGGGTTTACCTAGAAATACATCTAGCTGGTAAATAAACCTGTCTTAGTAGTGAGTGCTTTACTTTTAACTAGAGATCATATGTTGGAGAAAAAACTTTGACGAACGCCAAGTTTTTGAAGAATAACGAAAGAGCCCTTTAACGATCGAAAGGAGAGAACCGTTACTTTTGAAACCTTTAACGAACGGAAATAGCAGTTCTTGAAAAATAGAATAAAAAAGAACGAACGGATGTGTTTCAAAATAACGGCGACTTTTATTCTTTTTATGCTTAAAATTGTATGAAAAATAGAAAACATTTTTATGTTTTGAATATTGTCTTCTAATTTTCCCTGTTTTTCACATTAAAAGAATGGAAAATACTGTTAATGAACGGAACGATCATCTACATGTAAAGTTGTTCTTTTTTGAGCTTTTTTCACTAACCGCGCGATAATGAACAGGTTGAAAAAAGTCTAAACCTGCCCAGTCCTAGTCCTGCTAAAAGCATTATAGTTTAAGTAAATATGTTAATTTTTAACAAAGCGATGATGGAGATATGATCCCGAAAACACTGGTAATGGGAATAGCCTGGCACTTTTATGGCACTTTTTATGGCTCTAACAAAAAATGTTTCCTCAAATTTAGTAGTCAACATCCATAAAAAAAATAAGACATCTGTAAATTATTAATTCCTAACCATTCGGAAAATATGTTCTTTTTTAGTTTTGGACTTGGGAGACTTGGGAAAAGCATTTGACTCTTTGGTGAAGAAGTTTCATAAATAAAATAATCTATTGATCTCCAACTGCATTTAAGCAATGCATTGCATGCATAATTTCAATTTAAAATTTAAATTTATTGCTTATTACAATAGTTCAAGCTCGGTTTATCTGTATGATAAAAGATGATGATGAAAATAAAATATATTTTCTGAAACACCTGATGGAAAATGTAAATATTTGATCGAGAATTCATTCAATCAAAATTCTGTCGCTTGATTTACAAATGAAGATGAATCGAAGGAAGAATTCAGAGATTTAGAGGAATTTAGTAACATTTATTTCCAAAAGGAAAAGGAGAACGTGAAAAAAGGTGTTTTCCATTCGTAAAATAAATCACACAAAAAAATTCAAATTAGAAATAATCTAAATATCAAAATACAATTGCCATTTATAACAAGTTTTAGATTCAATGTGTTGTGCAATGGTCAATGGTCTATGGTACCACGTTCTTGTTTGTATTTACACGTTGAGCTAAATTTCATTTCATTCTAGATTGTTTTCGTGCATGTTTTCAAACAAAATTATTTTTTTGTCAAAATGAAAACCTATTGATTAGAAATTATGTTTTGAAATTCTTCTATGCAACCAAACAAGTTTGTTTTTTCATTCTTGAATGTGAGAAAAACAAAGGTCACAAAGTCATGCAAGTAATTCTTATTATTTGTTTGTATATGGAGTTGTAGATTGTTTTGAAAAAGATACTAGTTTTTATACCGATGGATTTAAGACAAGTTTGGTTTGATTTTTTAAATATAATCATAACTATGACTTAAATATTTAAAATACTGACAACTCACCAGGTTAGGGGGGGGGGGGTGCAATATTGGATAATTTAAAGCTTAAGAGATCTTTATTGGCTGTTAACTCCGGAACTTTGTTATTTTTGTTTTTTCCTTCGAACACTAATCCCATATCCGTAATCCTCATCTATAATAACATTCTAACTAGCTGTACGTCTTTATTTCTGCATTCTAATGTAAAAGGTCTTTTTATCTTAAATATATATATATAAGACAATCAAAGGATCCATAACTCTAATTGGATAATGAGATAGATAGAAAGATAGATGCTACCGCCATACTATTTCTATTGGTTCAGAATAGACAAGAAACACATGGCTGAACCGTGATTGGATCATGCGCTAATGGACTCAGCTTACAGGAGTGCAGTAAGACAAGACAGACAAGACAGACAAGACAGACAAGACAGACAAGACAGACAAGACAGACAAGACAGACAAGACAGACAAAACAGACAAGACAGACAAGACAGACAAGACAGACAAGACAGACAAGACAGACAAGATACAAACAAGACAGACAAGATAGACAAGACAGACAAGTCAGACAAGATACAAACAAAAAATGTTCTGTCTAGGAATGGGTTGACCGGAAAAATTAAGAGACTGTTAAAAAACTGTGAAATCATGCGACAAAGATTCTAAGGAATATTCATTTACATTTAAGAATCAGCCTAAATATAGATATTTTTATATATCTTTATGTTAGATGTCGTCTTTTTTAATATTTAAGGGACTGGGAGAGGGGTATAAAATGGAGACTAGAAACAACGTATGAAATTATCATTTTGTGCAGACATGTTGTAGGAAATAAATGGAAAAAGAAATAAAGTTGAAATGAATAAATCTTTAGTAAAATGATGAAAAAAGTTGAAACCTTAACAACATGCAGTTCCCTCCTGAAATAGGTAATAACAGCATATTTATTAGTTTAAATATTGAATATTTTGAATATTTTGACGATAATAGTTTTTTTATCGTGAATGAATGTATTTAATGAAATTTTCTGAATAATTTAAAGATTTAGCATTATTGTATTATTATTAGCATTATTATTGTATTATTGTATTATTATTAGCATTATTATTGTAGAAGGAGGGAGCTTTGGGGAACATGTTAATAATCTAAGGGGGACTATGTTCTATGTTTGTCAGGTAGATATGTTTTGTACTTTTTTTAAAAATATTATTTTTTTTAAGTCTAAAGCTCACTTTGGATTTGAAAAAAGAGATTTAGTTAAAGTAATATATTTTTCGAAATTCAAATAATGTCGATATGAATATTTTTAATATCTTATATTTCAAGTTAGAGCCTTGGAGTGGTCAGAATTAAAGGGACTTTTAAGGAAAAAATAAAGGGGGTATAGGCTTGAAACCTAAATACTTTATCGCGACCTATGTGAGATCTATCTGATGTCCATGTCTCGAGAAATTGATATAAAACTGTGTCAACGTAAATCCAAAAATTATATATACATCTCATATATATATATATATATATATATATATGAGATGTGGTATAGTGATCAAAGTTTTAAAAGATCACATTCAGAATATGCAACGAATCTGAAAATCACGATAACCGAGGATCTAAAACAACTTAGCGCCTATTATAATTTGAATTTAAAATAATTTTTTTTTCATAGATATAATTGATACGTCTGTATCACATGACCAGAATTTCCACCAATAGCAGTGCAGTATCATTGTCACATGTCTCCGTCTGTATCACGTGACTATGATACTGTACTGCTACCTTAGTTGTTTAGGCTCCTCTGGGTTATCGGAATTATCAGATTCGTTGCGTATTTGCTGAATGTGATTTGTTTATATACCATATCTCATATATATAAGTTTGGTATAATGTTGACACAGTTTTATTTCAATTTCTCCAGACAGGGACAATAGATAGAACCGATATAAGTCGCGATCAACTCCTAGAGTGTTTAGGTTTCAGTCTATACCCCCTTTTCTTTTTTTGCTTAGCAGTCGCTTTAAATACCTATTTTTTGGAATTATCAATATTTTGTAGATTCCGATTAAAGTGATATATATATAATCTAGCTTTAAATAAAAATATGTATTCTTTTCTAAAACTTATTTTCCAATTTTTTGGATGACATTATGTTGTCTGTAACACCTGTAATAATTCTGTCTGTCTGTAGTTTATCTATCTGTATGTAGTTTATCTCTCTTTATTTAGTTTATCTGTCTGTCTGTAGTCTATCTATCTGTCTGTAGTTTATCTGTCTGTAGTTTATCTGTCTGTAGTTTATCTGGATGTAGTTTATCTATCTGTATGTAGTTTATCTATCTGTATGTAGTTCATCTCTCTTTATTTAGTTTATTTGTCTGTCTGTAGTCTATCTATCTGTCTGTAGTTTACTTTTCTGTAGTTTATCTATCTGTAGTTTATTTGTCTGTAGTTTACCTGTCTGTAGTGTATCTATCTTTAGTTTATCTGTATGTAGTTTATCTATCTGTATGTAGTTCATCTCTCTTTATTTGGTTTATCTGTCTGTCTGTAGTCTATCTATCTATCTGTAGTTTATCTGTCTGTAGTTTATCTGTCTGCAGTTTATCTGTTTGTAATTCATCTGTCTGTAGCTTATCTGTCTGTAGTTTATCTATCTGTAATTTATCTGTCTGTAGCTTACCTGTCTGAAGTTTATCTCTCTGTATGTAGTTTATCTGTCTGTCTGTAGTCTATCTATCTGTCTGTAGTTTATCTTTCTGTAGTTTATCTGTCTGTAGTTTACTTGTCTGTAGTTTATTTGTCTGTAGTTTATCTGTTTGTAGTTTATCTGTCTTTAGTTTATCTGTCTGTAGTTTATCTTTCTGCAGTTTATCTGTCTGTAGTTTATCTGTCTGTGGTTTATCTGTCTGTAATTCATTTATCTGTAGCTCATCTGTCTGTAGTTTATTTGTCTGTAGTTTATCTTTCTTTAGTTTATCTGTCTGTAGTTTATCTGTCTGTGGTTTATCTGTCTGTAATTCATCTATCTGTAGCTCATCTGTCTGTAGTTTATTTGTCTGTAGTTTATCTGTCTGCAGTTTTTCTGTCTGTAGTTTATCTGTCTGTAGTTTATCTTTCTGTACTTTATCTGTTTTTAGTTTATCTGTCTGTAGTTTATCTTTCTGCAGTTTATCTGTCTGTAGTATATCTGTCTGTAGTTTATTTGTCTGTAGTTTATCTGTCTGTAGTTTAGTTGTCTGTCTGTAGTTTAGTTGTCTGTCTGTAGTTTAGTTGTCTGTCTGTAGTTTAATTGTCTGTCTGTAGTTTAGCTGTATGTCTAGCTGTCTGTAGTTTACCTGTATGTCTGTCTGTAGTTTAGCTGTCTGTCTGTAGTTTGTTTGTCTGTTTATCTTGTTATCCTGTAGTCGGATATCAGCTGTCCCAGCTACGGTGTAATTAACCTAGAAAAAACTTTCCACAAATTCCGCGTCACACTCATTTCACATATTTCACTGAAAAAAACATACAGAAATTTTTTAGGGTTCCTGCCTTTGCGGAACAGTAAATAATAGGGGAAAGGTAACTAAAGCACTCATTTTACCTCCTGATTTACAAGTCATTTGGATTTTAAGAAATCATACTCAATTTGAGAGTCATTTTGATTTTTCTTAATTTGTTTGAATTCCTATTTTTTTCAAACATAATTTTGATTTAATTCTTTTAAGTTAAAAGAAATATTAATTTTTGAGTTTATTTAAATTCGATTTTTTTTCAAGCTTCAAACTCATCTTAATTTCTAAGAAATTTTTTAATGCTTGAAGCCATCATTATGTTCAGTTATATTGATATTATGATAGATTTAAATTTGCATAGCCAGTAGCAACTTTAATTGAATAAAGAAATTTGGCTTTTTCAATCCATCTTCAAATTCAAAGTAATTTTGATTTCTTGTAACTTGTTTAGGTTAAAATAAACTAAACACATGCCACACACTATAATATTCAAATCCCCATATTTTTTAAGGCTGACGATTTAAACCTTTCATATTTCAAGCATTGACACTTTGAACTAACAGAATTTAAATTTGAAATATGAAAGGTGTTTAACATCAGGTTCCAACAATATACGGATTAGAAAATTAGAGTTTGTGGTCAGTTTCTTGGTTTTGATTTATCAATGTTTTGAATCCATATTGTTGTAATGTTAGGTAATCTACTGTTACGGTGATCTAGTCCCTAGACACGGGGAACTTTTCTCAGAAACAACAAACAACAATAATAAAGCTTCTCCTAGGAAAAACAACATTCATTTTTTCACCTACGTTAGACGGGTTGAATGAATGTATATTCATTATTCATCGCTTAATAAATAAATCAATTTCTTCATTCATGAAACGATTTCTTCATTGAAGTCTAAATTTTTTCATCACTGAACAGATTTCTTTGTTTAGGAATTGATTTATTTATTAATAATTATAATTAATAAATAAATGTCTTCAATAATGAATAGATATCTTCAATAATGATTAGATTTCTTAATTAATGATTAGATTTATCAATTAATGAATATATTTCTTCATTTATGAATAAAATTTTCTTTAATGAATAGATTTCTTCATTATTGGATAAATTTCTTCATTTCTCCAGTAATGGATAGATTTCCTCATTAAATGAATCTATTCATTACTGAATAGATTTCTTCATTAATAAACAAATCTATTCATTACTGAATAGATTTAATCATTAATGATTATAATTCTAAATTAATGGATAGATTTCTTCATTTATAAATAGATTTCTTTGAATAGATTTCTTAATTAATGAACAGATAACTTCATTTATACAAAATAGATTATTCTTGTATAGAATACTATTACAACATTAAGAAGGAGAGAGTGACTTAATAAATACTATATAAGTATATAAGTAAAGAATATGAAAGGATTCCATTAGTGCGAGTATTTTCATACTTTTTCCTCACAAACCTCCATATTATATTTATCTTCACTGTTATATTGTGTTAAAGAATTAGGAAGCTTAGATTTTAAAAATAAAAAAATATTTACTATTGATCTTTAGATTCTAATTTTCCAAAATCTTCTTATGTTGTCCAATTATATGACGTCATGTTGTCCAATTATATGACGTCATGTTGTCCAATTATATGACGTCATGTTTTTAGTTTAAAAAGATATTCCTGTGAAGAAGCAGCATTAAAGATATCTAGAAAGAGTTGGGGGGGGGGGGGNGGGGGGGGGGGGGATAACATTACAATATGTAACGGAGGAACAAGACTTACAAATTATGTTTAATGGGTCAAATTGTGAGGAGGGAGGGGCGAAATTGAAGATGAATTTCAAAGGTTAGGGAATTTAAAGGTAATGTAGAATGCAGTGGAATCGTAAAAAAGTGGTGGGAAAAGTAGGAAAAGGGAAGGGTTGGGGTTGATGTTGGGTATTAAGGGGGCGGGGGGCTCATCTAAAATGAATTCATTCCATAAACATCTTATGTCAAATAAGGCTTGGCCGCTTGAGAATTTTTTTGAGTGAAGTCTCTAAGTACGTTGTTTAAATGTTATGTTTTACTTAAGAATTTCGACCGAAACCCCGTTATTTCATTAAAAACTCTTAAAATAGGATTTTTCAACACGCTACTCTAACTAAATCAAGAATTTGGGGTGCTGCCGGAGCCCCTAAATTTTTTCCTTATGTCTGTTAGAATCTATTTATATTTATAGATTATCCTGAAACCCCTGTGCTTTCTTGTTCTTTTGCTATACAATATATGTTTTTCTTCCAAAAACTCGCTGTAACAAAGACGACATCTAAATATATTGGGGGTTTACAGGATCCGATCAAAAGTCAAGGATGCTTTTTTACTCTGCCAAAAGTATTTGGGTATGTGTTAAAAAAGATAGACTTGTAAAATTCCAAAAACAGCTAGAAACCAAAGTTTGGCAATTTTGTTTGCCTCAAAGTGTGATTTGCGGGGCCTGGTGCAAAATTGTATATTTTTTGTGCAACTCTCCTGTATAGTGTTTTTTTTTAATATTTTTTGAAAATTTGTAATTTTTTTGGGGTTCTTAAATTGCCCAAATAAAAAACCGCGAAACTTTTTTTTCTTTCAAAATTTAAAAGTTTAGAAAAACAAAAATTTGTAAATAAATTGTTTCTATCGAAATCTAAAATTTTTAAGAGATTGAATCCCAGAATTTCAGAAAATTTGCACCAGAACTAAAAATTGCAAATTTTCGTATTACAATTTTGCGAATTTTCTGTGATTCTTTCATTCAATCTTTAAAAAAATTTAGATTTCGATAGAAATAATTTACATAGAAATGTTTGCTTTTATAAACTTTTGATTCTGAGAGAAACAAAGGCTCGCGAATTTTCTTTTGGGCCATTACTCCAATTACAAATTACAAATTTTCAAAAAATATTGAAAAAACACCATACAGGAGAGTTGCACAAAAAAGGTACAATTTTGCACCAGGCGCCGCAAATCACACTTTTTTTTGATCTACAGAAAATGTACAAGGTAATACATCAAGGTATGTTCAGGTTGACAAATATAAGTTTTGCTACGATATTTGTAACAGGGGAGGGGGACGGGATAGAAAGGAATGGAAAGAAGGGGAGGGGGGCAGGGTGGAGTGGAATGTAACAAATGATATCCCAATACTTAACATTATTCAGTAGAACTGCACACTAGAATAGGCCGATAGAAGGAGATGAAAATATACAGAGGATAGAATAAAGAAAAAATACAGGGAAGCATAGAATAAGGAAAATACACAGGGAAGGATGTAATAAGGAAATACACAGTGAAGAATAGAATAAGGAATATGTACAGGAAAGGATAGAATAAGGGAAATACACAGTGAAGGATAGAATAAGGAAAAAACAAAGGGAAGGATAGAATAAGGAAAATACAAAGGGAAGGATAGAATAAGGAAAATGTACAGGGAAGGATAGAATAAGGAGAATACGAAGGGAAGGATAGTTAAGGAAAATACACAGGGAAGGATAGAATAAGGAAAATACAAAGGGAAGCATAGTTAAGGAAAACGTACAGGGAAGGATAGAATAAGGAGAATACGAAGGGAAGGATAGATAAGGAGAATACACAGGGAAGGATAGAACAAGGAGAATACACAGGGAAGGATAGAATTAGGAGAATACACAGGGAAGGATAGAATAAGGAAAATACAAAGGGAAGGATAGAATAAGAAAAATGTACAGGGAAGGATAGAATAAGGAGAATACGAAGAGAAGGATAGAATAAGGAAAATACAAAGGGAAGGATAGAATAAGGAAAATACAAAGGGAAGGATAGAATAAGGAAAATNCTTTTTAAAAGTTTTTCATTATATTTGATAAATAAACACTTTACAAGATTCTATAAAGTTAAACACTGAATATTCTTTATAAAAATTGTCTTAAATACACTTTTTCAATTGAGTGTAAAAGTCAACTTTTTAATTGACAAAGAAACTGTACACAGGGAAGGATAGAATAAGGAAAATACACAGGGAAGGGTAGAATAAGGAAAATATAGAGGAAAGGGGAAAAATCGGGTATTGTCGCTGATGTATCCCCTCTTTCTTTCCTATAAACATCAGCATTTAACCCCCCCCCCCTTCCCCCCTATCATCCTGTATTCCAGACCAGTGTAATTTATACAAAATATAAATAAGAAAATGAGCAAAGTTTGTTTTTAAGTAAACCAACAAATACATATATATATAATATTCTTTAGTTTATCTGTCTGTAGTTTATCTGTCTGTAGTTTATCTGTCTGTAGTTTATCTGTCTGTAGTTTAGTTGTCTGTCTGTAGTTTAGTTGTCTGTCTGTAGTTTAGTTGTCTGTCTGTAGTTTAATTGTCTGTCAAGAAGAGAATGGAAAAAGAAAGGATGAGAAGGAAAGAGAAAAAGGAAGGATGAGAAGAAAGAGAAAAAGAAAGGATGAGAAGAAAATAGAAAAGGAAGGATGAGAAGAAAAGAGAAAAAGGAAGGATGAAAAGAAAATGGAAAAAGGAAGGATCAGAAGAAAACAGAAAAAGGAAAAATAAGAAGAAAAGAGAAAAAGAAAGGATGAGAAGAACACAGAAAAAAGAAAGATGAGAAGAAAAGAGAAAAAGAAGGATCAGAAAAAAAAGTAAGGATCAAAATAAAAGAGAAAAAAAAGGATGAAAAGAAAAGAGAAAAAGGAAGGATCAGAAGAAAACAGAAAAAGAAAGAATAAGAAGAAAACAGAAAAAGAAAGCATTTGAAGAACATAGACAAAGGAAAGATGAGAAGAAAACAGAAAAAGGAAGAATGAGAAGAAAACAGAAAAAGAAAGGATGTGAAGAACATAGACAAAGGAAAGATGAGAAGAAAACAGAAAAAGAAAGAAAAGAGAAAAAAGAGAAGAAAAAAAATTAAAGTTTGGGATAAAAAGAAATGTGAAGGAAGATGTTAAAGCTTTTAAGACTAAAACAACAAAAACAAATTCAGTAACATATACTAGGGGAAGACGAATGCTTAATTGGCTCCCCCTCTCCATCCCCCCCCCCCCCTTCTTCCCCCATTCCCTTTCAAAATTTGAAATGTTGAAAAAATGTTGTTTCTAATTAGAGACCTTTTAGCGGCTCAACTCGGAATATGGGTGTTTGGTCTCATAGCTTTGTAAGTATTTTATTTTAAACTTATAAAAACATTTTTTTAAAATTCTTAATTCTCTGTTTTAGATTAGTAGTTTTATTGTTAATACGAAAATCAATTTCTTCCCTGAGACAGCATATAGAAAAGGTAATATTGAAGCAAAACAATTTTTTTTCTTCACATTCAATCAATTAATTCAATGTGTTCTTAAATATAATTCTATCAAATAAGTATTTGATTTTCTGAAGAATAAAGGCACAAAATCGAAATAAAATTTACAAAGAAACAAATTAATAAACAAAAAAATTTAAAAATTGTTAGAAAATTAAAAATATAGTGTAGCATTTATTTTCTGGTTACAACTAAACTATAGGAACTTTTTAAAAGTTTTTCATTATATTTGATAAATAAACACTTTACAAGATTCTATAAAGTTAAACACTGAATATTCTTTATAAAAATTGTCTTAAATACACTTTTTCAATTGAGTGTAAAAGTCAACTTTTTAATTGACAAAGAAACTGAGTTTTTGCCACAAACTCAAATATTCTTGTCCCTATATCTTGGCAACCCAATGTCGTAGACCTTAGATATTTCAAACTATTAATTCTGTTAGGTCAAATAATCTAAGTTTGAAATTTCAAATATTTATACCCACTGGTTGCAGAGATATAGAAATAAGAAAATTTGAGGTCGTGGCAAAAACTCAGTTTCTTTAAAATAAAATATCTTCTGTTTGATGAGTTGAAAATAAACTGAAAACTGTAGAGATAGGTTTCGCCATTTTATTTCATTTTTAATTTTCTCCTTTATCTGTTTTAATACTGATAATTTAAGGAAATTTATTGTCTGTCAACATTTACTTTAAAGGAAATTTATGAGCCGTAAATTTGTGAAACTATTGAGTGATAATTTTGTAATGAAATAAATACTTGTACATCATTTCAAGTTTCAGTTTTTCATTAAAATATTTATTAATGATTATCTATTCATTCATATTCAAATTTAAAATATTTTTATTATTAATATTCTTAAAATGTTTAAAATGTTTTCGCTAGAATTATTAAATCGGCCATTTTAAATCATTTTCAAATTTTGGCTGATTCTCTTCGAATTGGCGCATTAAAGAAATCCAACCATTTTCCAGGATTTTTTCTCTCTAATTTTGATATTCCATAAACCTTCCCTGGAGTCATGTGAGGTCCCACACAAAATTTGGGCCTAATCGGTTCATTCGTTTTAACGTTTATCGGGTACAAACAAACAAAAGACATACATACAAGCAAAGTAAATATATTTAGAAGAAGAAGAAGCTTGCAATAAGTACCCCCCCCCCCCCATCTTATTCCCCTGTAGGCTGTACCTGAAGGCATGCTTAGCCGTAAAGCTGTTGAACTAGAAAATGTAACTACATATTAAAATAATGAGGGTGCTTACATAGACAGTTATCACAACCTTCAGGATAGAAATTGTATATTAAACAATTTAATAAAAATCTATTATCTGTTTACACTGCAAACAATAATATGTGATTTTTTAATTTTAATATATTGATGCTTTTTTAGTCTAAATTCGAACAAGCAACAAGTAACTTTTACTTAAAGGAACTGAGTGTTTGGCACAAACTCAAAATTTCTAATACCTATATCTATGCAACCTGTTACCTGATAGTGTAAATATTTGATATTTAAAACTTTGATTATTTCATATGACAAAATTTATAGTTTGATAAATCAAAAGTCTAAGAAATTAGGTTGCAAAGATTGAAAATAACAGTGTGTTGCTATAATCATAATTCCTTTACTGTTATGCATAGTAGATAGCCATGAATATTGAATATATGTTTGTGTTGTAGGTAACAGAGCGACTACCCTGGTACCATGACGACGACGACCTTTTGTCGAATAATTCTACAGCGACGAGTCCGCATATTCATGGAAAGGATACTACACTAGAGTCCATGGTTGGTGAAATAAACGAGGAGGTGTGATCCTAACCCTAACCTTGCATCTTAACCCAACCTTCATCTTGATCCAGGATTGTCGTTCCTACGCTCAAGATCAATGTTGGGTTTCCAGGGTGTCCCTGGAAAAAAAGTTAGAATACTTTTTTCTGATTTTTTGCATGTTTCCAGGCCACCCTGTATGGTTTTGCAGATTAATTAAGCGCATGAATTTTTTTCTCACTAATTAATTAATACACTTAATCATAAATTTGTCCTGAAACATATTTTTGTATTTTGATAAAAACCTTTTCATAAATTCTGCACTTTTATAAACATTTTAAAAAACTTCTGCATAACTATATTCCCAAAACTACCCTTTGTTTTTAAATCCCTTGCACATGCCTTGCATGCATGAAGAGAAGAAAAAACATCTTATTATTGCTTTCCAAATTCTAAATTGTTTTTCCTTCTCTCTGAGAATTCTTTGGACAAAAGACCCTCTCTAAATCATTTCAAAAACTATTGTTTAATGTACATAAAATGCGAAATAATAATTTACTTTACCCAACCCTAAATATTTAGGAAAAATGAGGAAATGACAACTCTGGGGGGCAATTTTTCAAGCATCGTGAAATATATTCAATTTGTTTAATCATTCAGCAATGTTCTAATTTAATTGTAAATATGGACTAAAAGCAAATATTGTATTTATCAGTTTCATTCTTTCCGTCCGTGTGGTCTTTATATGACAGCTATTATTTATATGAACTAGATTTCTAAGATTTCGATAAAAAATGTCTGGATTTATTCCTTATACCTTCACTGTATTTAGTATGTTAGATAATTATATTGTTTATTTGTAGATAATTTAGATTATTACTGTGAATGTGAATGTTTATTCTGTACTGTAGTTAATAAATGTATTTTTTAAATTCTATATTTATCACTTGTTACTTCATGGTTTGGTTTGGTATACTTCAATCCAATAGCACTGACATCGAGATGGTAGCCATCTTGGATAAATCTAATAGCACTGGTACAGCTGGCGGCCATCTTGGATAAAGAAGCAGGCCTGCCTCCATGCTGGATCAGCTGGTCATCATTTTTAACAAGATGGCTTCAATTTGAACATCATTGTTAAAATTGTATTATTCATGCAAACTTGCAAAAGGCAAACTTGAAACTCGTCTTTGATGTTAAATAGAAATTGTTTTGTAATGACGTACAATCATGTTAAAACGGTTTATAATAATTTGTTGTAGCTTTTAATAAGAAATAAAAAATAATGAAAATATAGAATTTTTCCTTTCCTCGGAACACTTAAATGGGACTCTAGCCGCTATTTAAAAAGACCTTCTATGTCCAATTCACAGCGGTATCTTTAAAACCTGTATCTGAGTAACAATTATAAAATAATTTCTTCTAAACTGACATCAAAGAAGATTATGTTTATAAATGACGTGTTTCTTTTTGTTTTGCTCAAATATGTGACCATCATGCTGCATTTTTCTAGCATGAATGTTAATTTACTTAAAGGGACTGTAAGGGAAAAATGAAAGGGGATACAGGATAAAACCTGAGTATCTCAGGCGTTGAACGATCCATATAAGACATCTATCTGATGTTCCTGTCTCGAGAAATTAATATAAAACTGTGTCAAATTTATACCAAAATTCATATATATACAATTTTGTATAAAAATAGTAGGTTTAAACAGATCATATTCAGCAAATACGCAAGCAATCTGAAAACGATTATATCCCACAGAAACCTGAGAAATGAGAATCTCAGGTTTGCTCCTATTATAATTTTTAAATTTTTATTTTGTATTTTTAGTAGATATAATTGATAATATTTCTTAAAAGACCGTATTACGTCACAAGAACTTCCACCAATGAGAGTGCAGTATACTGGTCACTGGTCACGTGATACAGACGGAAATCACGTGACCAGTATACTGCACTGCCATTGGCTGAAGTTATTATCAATTATATCTATAAAAATGCAAAATAAAAATTAAATGATTATAACAGGAGCAAACCTGAGATTCTCAGGTTTCTGTGGGATATCGTCGTTTTCAGATTGGTTTTGTATTTGTGGAATATGATCTGTTTTATACTACAACTTTTATACAAAATTGCACATATATGAATTTCTCGAGACAGGAACATCAGATGTCTTATATGTATCGTTCAACGCCTGAGATTCTCAGGTGTCATCCCATACCCCCTTTCATTTTTTCTTTACAGTCCCTTTAAAGCATCCCAAAAGCTTGGTTTAAATCGTAAATTCTGGGAATTTTTATCAATCCAGATAATTTTTGCCTAGTGCTTCTTCCTTTTCTAAACCCATTTCCGATAAATTCTTCAAACTTTTCATAGTTTAGAAAACATATTTAAGATTTATAGCAATAGGGCCTAAACTTTAAGTGAAACTGATTTCCTTTTAAAAGGTTTCATAGAATATAAAAAAAATATTTAGAAGTTTTCTTGAATGAAGATTGTTTGATAGAAAAATCCTGCAATTTTAGCTTATGCGTTGAATCTTTTTGTAAAATAACTTTTAAGCTTATATTCCTAGCAACCACAGTAATGTATATCTGTGCACACTGCACAGTTTGCAAAAGAGATAAAGATAAAGAGGATCATGTAGGATTGCGTACATCGAGTACACTAATTTGCGATGTTAGGTACTTTCCCAAAGGCATTTTCCCAAGCGGCAACATCCCAAAAGTTTTTCTCAAGTGGCAACTTCCCAAATGTGCAATTTCACATGGGGCAACTTCCCAAGTCTGCCTTATCCGCAGCGCTCGGCTCCTAGCTTGTTCTAGACGCAGCCCTACCTAACGCCTAATTTGCAATGTGGCATATACTCAATCAGTTCTGGCATACTCAACGGAACTGTAGATCTTCATTTATTTAATATCAAATAGATTCTAGTACAATAGATGGCAACGTAGAATTTGTACACTCATAGTACAGCTGTATTCTGACGTCACAAGTGTCAATGCATTTTTTTTTTCAATAATAGTGATAATTTTAGGATAAAGTGCTTATCTTACGGTAAAATAAGTGCAAGTATATGTGTTTTTTATTTTCTGTTTTTACACTTTTTATTTAATCTTAGAAAACATGCCAACAAATGTGGACAAATTTCGTTTTCCTTTGACACTTGTGAAGTTGTGTATATTTGGTTCATTTCTCAGTTGTCATCTATTGTACTTGATAATCTGTTTGCTTAATATAGAGTAAAGTGCGTTATTTGGTTATATTTCAAAAGTTGCTTAATTTGGTTATACTTGTCTTTTAATCCTAATATCATTGCAAGTAGAGATGTTAGCATAACCAAAATTACTTCTTACTAAAATATTATTATCAGGTTTGTATACCCTTTGTCGCGAAATTTTTTTCTTTACTCAGTGTAACATTTACATGACATTTAAAAACAACTATGCAAAATAATGCATTTTTGAAATTTTAGAGCTAAGAAATGCAATTCAAGAACTAATCTTTTTTGGCTTTATTGATTGTCTTTGATAAAAAAAATTCCTCCAGTAGTTGCTCCATAAAGATCTTTAGTAGCTCCTAAAGTGTCAATGTTGTAAGTATTGCATATTAAAAGTTATGCGTGCTACAAAACTATTAAAATATTTTCCTTAGTTTCGGTATTTGGTTATACATGAAATTACGTACTTAGGTTATAGTTTTACATTAATATAAAACAGCAAAAACACGTGGATTTAACGGTTCTGGCAATTTTTCAGAAAACTGTGACTTTCGATCACAATTTGACCCCTTTTACATAATTTTATAGCCTTTTATCAAAAATATAGTTTTGTTGGCATATACATTATAAATGGAAAAGTATAAAACAAACAAATCTTTAAGTCTAAAGACTGTTGAGTTATAGACGAAAACACGTTTGATTTCAAACAAAAGAAACCGAATGCTTCTTTCTCTCGTTAGTTCGGGGTGCAAAGGTTGAAATGAAACATCTTGAATGGGATTTTCAAAACAAAAATGTCGGTTCTAGTTTGCCCAAATATTCTGTTTATTTTTGTTCGTGTTTTTTAAAGTGAACAATTTTTAATATTTTTGTTAGGAGTAGACTCAAGAAAAATAGTGTTGTTATCAACATTTTTAATGTACCAGCTTAAACGAGTGTAAAATTATCTATAACCAAATAGCGCTATTTAGAAACTTAAGAAGAAACTTAAGAATGTATAATTTGAGGTGATTTTCTTTAAAGTCGGAAAAGTTAAGCTTAACTGTAACCAAATAACGCACTTGACTCTAGTACTTTTTTGCTTCTCACAACGTTTACAGTGGAAATGTACGCAAACTTACAAAGCATTCTTCAGTCTATACTCTGGGTCAAATTGGACATGTGCGTCAGTACACATGTACATTAGAGCCGGAAATTTAAGAGAGTATCGTTCAACGAAACTTCCGAGTTTCCTTTTTGGGGTCTTTGCATTTGCGTAGATTTTAATTTAAGAAATCAGAGAAAAGGGAACGTAAAGAAACCAAAATGTTTTTGGTATGTCAATAAAACTACCTGGCCCGATTCATGAAACAGTGTTTCCGACATAGAGAATAGAATATATAGAGAGGAATTTACTGGAAAAAAGTGTAAAACGGCCATTTTGTTGTACTGTTTCCATACTGCAGGTGTACTTCACATATTTATGCTATATAACCTCTTGGGCCCTGGAATATGATTTTATAGAAAATCTAAAATTATTGTTAAAAGAAAACCAAATTATAAAATAGGCTGGTTTCATAATTGACCAATGATCATTTCACATAGACTCTATGCCTTCCACTTTACAAACGATGATTTTCCGTTATAACTATAAATCAAATGATGTTTTTATTCACCTAATTCATTATAAAGTTTATTTAACAGTTTAAAAAATTCGAAATTGAAATGGATAGTCTAGGGAACATAATGTATTAATGTACTCTACTGCATATAATTTGTCAACATTTACATGATTTGTACACTTTGAACTCCCTTTCAGGCTGAAAGGGACTGAAAAAATTCATACCGAGAGCTTCGTTTAATTCCTCTCTATATATTCTATTCTCTATGGTTTCCGATACTGGGTTTCATGACGATACTCTGTCTTAAGTTTTGGGCTCAGTATAGTGCAGTTGTGTAGAATATAGCAGTACAAAAAGAAGTTTAGAAATAAAGAATAAGCCAACAATAAAGTTGGAATTAGATTAAGTTGCTTGTTTATGCACAATAGAAGGATGAAGTATAAGAAGAGAATAGAAAATCTATATTTTTATGTAAGAATAATTATTTTTTACTCCACATAGGGAAATATTATTTACTTATTTTAAGATGGCCAATATTTTTTTTGTACTTCTTATGTGCGTAAAATAAGCAGTTTTTAGATCAAAGTCCTTTTGCTATATTTGGATATTTTCAACTGTGTCCTAACTTTTGCCTTTTGATAAATCAGTTCTGTTACTTGATGGGCCTATCCGTTACAATAATTAAACAAACCGTTATCTCATTGATTAACAAAGGACTAGGGTGCCGCGGGTCCAAGTCCTAAAAGAACAAAAAAAACTCAATTATGCAAGACTGGACTCTTTAAATTCTAATTCCAAGATTATTGCGTTATTTCGACGCCAGTTCTTTATTTTTATTCTTCTTAGAACCAATTCTCAAGAAGTTCCAATTCAAGAATGTTAACAGAAGGAAGACATTTTAATTTCGAGTGTGAAAAGATTCACAAATGTCTCGAAAATATCGAATAAAATGTTTACTTCTGTTCCCTTCTGTAAATGTTTCTATCTGTGTTTATGTAAATGTCTTAAAGGCTTAAAAATAAAATTTAACTCATTGCTTATTTGCATAATTTTAGACAAATTTTATTTTTCTAAGCCACAGCTGAAAACTATACTTTTCAATAAAAATTCTAAATTTTTGAACTTTTTTCCTCCCCGTCTAGTTCTGTGTCTGACAAGTAAAGGATGTTCTAGAAATACTTGCGACTGCCTAAAAAAGGGATATTTTCCATTTTTTAACCAAAAATATTGTCCTATCCAAGAATGTTCCGAATCAATTTTTAGACGATCATAATTTTCTTGAACATCCTGTGTATATATATGGTTAGGAAGAGAACCCTGAGGACTACTGTGAAAACTTCTGTATTTGTGAATACTTATTCTGGCCTCCCATCTCCCCCTGCAGATAATGACTACATTACCATTAAATGGAAGGTCAGAACTCCCGCCATTTGTGAAAAACCCCCGCCATTTGTCAATAATTCCCGCCATTTTGAAATTTAATAGATAAAATATTTGAATATTTTTATAAAATGTTGAAAATATCTCGCTAAAAGCAAGGTTTCTTTCTTATTTTCCGGGAAAATTGTAATATTGCGATATAATCCAGCAATGCAAGCATAAAGCAGTGTAATATGACCGCCATTTATAAAACTATTTTCCCGGAACATATTTTGACATTTTCCATATTTCAAAGAAAGTTATGGAAGGGACAGCATACAGGGTAGTTTTACCATAGTAGTTCTTCAGGGTTAGAAACTCCTAAACCGGGTCTTCAGCAGCCTTCTCATTATGAGAAGGGGTGCAGCAGATCCAGTTTAGAACAAGATTGTTTACCCTTTAGTTAGTAGTAAACCTGACCGTATTGTTTGCTAGGAGGGGCTACCACCATCAGATTATGACGACATGTTGACCCCTGATACAGATCGTCTGGACTCTCCACCCCTGGCCCTAAACCTAAGGGGCACCTCAGCCGCTAAGGGATCCAGCCAGGGGTCCAACCTGAGGACCCTAAGGGTGGGACGAAAGGACTACAAGAAGGCCGGGGACGGTTTACGCGGGAAAAACGTGACCGAAGCATTCCGTGTGAAGGAAAAGGATATGAAACGAACAATGAAATGAGTATCGCCTGGGATCCCTGTGTGCCTCCGACGGCAGGGATCCCAGGAACCGAACCGGGAGGAAAGTCGGAGGAAAAAACACAACCAACATCGGAGCGAACCCAGCTGTCTTAGGAGACAAGTGAGTGATGTTTCAATAATAGAAAGAGAGGAGGAATTAGAACTCATGGATAGAAGAATTAAAACTAAATCCAATTCCAAGGATTAATTAAATTCTAGATCAATTCATTACAAATATGAACAGAACGTTAATTAATTCTAGAAATCTTTTAAGCTTCAAAAGTTGTCGGCTTACTCTTGTATTGACAGATATGCTGAAACACTGAGAAAGTTAAATTGCAGTGTGACAAGATTAAAGTCAAAATTATTGTCAGGGATAAATCTCTTATTATTTAGTAAATCCAAGCCAATTAAGTATAAATCTGGGGACCAAATTTAATGAATTTGATCTATGCCGCTGAACTAAACCTACCGTCGATTCAAATACTTATCTGTAGTTTTGCAATGTATAGTTGAAGTCTATGGGACATAGATAAATCCTGAATCATCGATTCAAGTTACCTGGTTGAACCGTCTCTAGACCTGGCTCAAATTCATTAACTCTGGTTCTATAAGGTCTTAAAATGAAATAAGCCCCCGTTTAAATGTTAATTAGTCGCAAACTTCAATTGTTTTGTACTTCTAAATAGCTCAAATTATCAAATATGATATAATTCAAATTTTGTTTAGTTTTCGCTAAAAAGTAAATTGTAAACAAGTATAATTTTCTACCTCTGATTTTAATACTTATGGTTTAATACTACCTTAATTAATAAATCATGTTTCTATGATTTTTATCGAAAACTTATATTACAATATTCCTTCATTTACATACCCCAGTTGTCCTGAGACAATGAAGCATTAAAAATAATGACATTTTTAAAGAACTGAGTTGATCGATAGTTCAGTCTGAATATGGACAAAAATATCCCGTTATGCCCGTTCTTCTTTACATTTTAACAAATACAAATTTTTTCATCTTAAAGGAAGTAGGCGCGGGGGAAAAGATGAACCACAATCATTTTAGAATAGGCAGGATTTTAATTTCTTTCCAACATTTCGGTGAAGAAAATTTTTTCTTAGCCAAAATACTGACAAATAGGAAAGTTTTTGAAGAGATATAAAATCTAATTAGGGTCAGTTTATCCTACACCTTCTTTCACTTTTCCCGATCCCTCCCTTTAAACATTTTTTTCAGCTTATTAGTTCTTATCCTGCCGATTTTTGTAAAATATTTGAAAATGTATTTGAAAAAATGTAATTCTTTCACACAGCGCTGACAGGTAACAATAGCATGAAGGTCAGTCTAATCATACTTTCAAAAACATTTACAAACTCAATATGTTGTATACATGTTTGAGTTGTACAATAGATCATGAAAACTTTACGTTGTACAGAACCCAGTACCCATCAATGTGATGTAAACATGTATATTTTGATTTAAGAAACTCTGTACAAACACAAGCTACATGGTTCCATTTAAAGTTTTGTTTTAAAATTTCATCCGGATTTTGATTGAATCTCCATATTTAATTCTAAAAATGAAGATTAATTGTATAAAAATTAAATGTTTAGATATAAACCGGTTTGTTTAAATATCCTCTGCTAGTATGTGTTGGTTAAAATTTAAAAATTGTATATTATTGTTTGATTTATCATTATGTTAAAATTTTAAATTTTTTTTTCAACAAACTGAATATTTGCAGTGCTTTACCCCCACAGTTGTTTCCTAGATCCCAGTATTTTGTTTTCAATATGTTTTTAAATGAAAATAAATAAATAAATAGATAAATAGATAAATACAGTGAAGAAATTGAGAATAAATCATTTTTAACTAATCCAAACTGAAGTAAACTAATGAAGACTAATCACTAGTTTCCTTCATTTTTCTTTTCAGATCTTACTAACTTAATCTTTTTATGTCTTTCCAACTAATATTTCTAGGTCTTGCAAACTTTATCTCTCCCGAGGCCAGAACTTTTGTTTCAGATGGCGCCAATTTACAGGGGAAACCATTAATCAGAAGCTTTTAAATGTTTATTCTTGAAAACAGCTGTTTAATATTTTCGGTAATCTCTCGTAATCATCTATTTAAAGAGATATTGAGGATGAGTTAACTAAATCTGTTGATTCGGATAAATCCGACAAAAGTTCTGTCCTCAACTTTCTAAGGTGTGTCTAACGCTTCAAAGATAGAAATTGTATATATAGATACAAATAGACAGGACATTTCACAGATAGACATTTCATCGATAGGAGGATTTTATCAAATTAAGAACGCATAATATATTAAAAAATATTATTTGGAAAAGATAATGATTGCTTTCTCTCAGAAAAATTTTATTTGTCTATGAAAAATTAGGTAATGCAATGTCCTGTTTATTACATGTCCTGTCAATGAAATGTCTTTTCGATGAAATTTCCTGTCAATGCAATGTCCTGTTTATAAAAAGTCCTGTCGATGCAATGTCCACTTTATAAAATGTCTTGTCTATGCAATGATGTCCTGTCGTTTATGAAATGTCCATGGCAATGCAATGTTTTTTATGAAATGTTCTGTCTATGCAATGTCCTGTTTTTGAAATGTCCTTTTTATGAAATGAAATGCGATGTCAATGCAATTTCCTGTTTATGAAATGTCCTGTTTATGCAATATCCTGTTGTTTATGAAATGTCAATGGCAATGCAATGTTTTTTATGAAATGTTCTGTCTATGCAATGTTCTTTTTATGAAATGAAATGCAATGTACATTCAATGTCCTGAATATGAAATATTCTGTAAATGCAAAGAGTTTGGAGCAAAAAGAATAGAATATATATTAGAGTGGAATTTACTTGAAAAAAGTGTAAAACGGCAATTTTGTTGTCCTGTTTCCATACTGCAGGTGTACTTCACATATTTGTGCTATATAACCTTTTGGTCCCCGGAACATCATTTTATAGAAAATCTAAAATTATATTAAAAGAAAACCAAATTATGAAATAGGCTGGTTTCATAATTGACCAATGATCATTTCACATTGACTCTATGCCTTTCACTTTACAAACGAAGATTTTCCGTTATATCTATAAATCAAATGATGTTTTTTTATTCACCTAAATCATTTTATAAAGTTTATTTAACAGCTTTAAAAAATTCGAAATTGAAATGGATAGTCTAGGGAACATACTGTATTAATGTACTCTACTGCATATAATTTGTGAACATTTACATGATTTGTACACTTTGAACTCCCTTTCAGGCTGAAAGGGACTGAAAAATTCATACCAAGGGATTGTCTAAATTCCATTCTAAAATATAATCTATACTCTTTGGTTTGGAGTCTAGAAATCCGGATAAGTGTACCAAAATCACGCGAGAGTCCTCCTTAATAATGAGAAATAATATAAACATTGTTAAAGGGGAAACAATTTAAATTTAAATAAATAAAAGTATAGGGGTGTTACTGGAGGCGGGGGGGGGGGCGGCCTGTTTTATTCTTTTACTTTCTTCTATTTATATGTTTCTTTGTTTAATTTCTATCTTTTTTTTAACTTTCTACAGGGACAGGGGAGGGGTCCGTTTATATTTTTTTCTGTTATGTCTATCTTTCTTTTCTTAACTTTGTAACCTGGGGGAGGGGTCACACTTTATTTCTATTGATCATGAAATGTTGATATTATTTTTAAAATAAACATGTTCAGAGAATATTGTAACAAATAAACCGACTTTAAAATAAATGAAAATTAGAACCGCGTAGTGCTTTGTTTTTGTTTCGTTTTTATTATGAACGTGTTTAATAATATAAATAATAACTGCGTAGACACTTTAAGAACTGTGTGAACGTGCAGTACGGAATTGGTACACTATTCTCGTTATTGGTACACTCTTTTTGCCTCGAAATGCCGAGAATGTCCTGTGTATGAAATGTCATGTCAATGCAATGTACTGTTTATGAAATGTCATGTCAATGCAATGTCCTGTTTGTGAAATGTCATGTCAATGCAATGTCCTGTTTATGAAATGTCATATCAATGAAATGTACGTCCTGTTACTAAAATATCACACCTGTCAATGAAATGTCAAGTCTAAGAAATGGCTGTTTAAGAAATGTCTTCCTATAGAGTGATCTATCTAGATCTTGCTAATTTTAGTTTCTAGATCTTGCTAACCTTATTTTCTAGATCTTGCTAACTTCTTCCTTCTATATCTTGTAATCTAATTCTTTCTTGATCTTGCTGACTTAATCTTTTTTATCTAAAAAACATAATCTTTTTACATATTGCTAATTTAATCTTTTGGGATCTTGGTAACTTAAATTTTTTTAACTTTATCTTTCTAGAACTTAGTATCTTTATTTTTCTAGATTTAGCTAACGTAATCTTTCTAAATCTTAATATCATATTCCTTCTAGATCTTGCTAACTTTATATTTCTAGATCTTAATATCATATTCTTTCTAGATCCTATTAACTTTATCTTTCTAGATCTTGATATCTAATTCTTTCTAGATCCTGATAACTTTATCTTTCTAGATGTTAATATCATATTCTTTCTAGATCCTGTTAACTTTATCTTTCTAGATCCTGATAACTTTATAAAAAGCTCGTCGTGAAGGAAAAAAACTATATTTCTTGTTTTTCTCTAATGAAACTGTCTTCAGGACTCTTGCTTACAGTTTAATTGAACCATTCAACAGACCCTATATCCTTCTATTGCCTTCTCACATAGATCCAGACTGCTATGAAAAATTGCATCAATTTTCAAGACTGGGTCGACTTTAATGTGTTGCAACGACTTGTCCTTTTATTTCACCTCACTAACTCACTTACACTTTCTGTTGCTCATAAATATTTTGAACCTTTGGTTTTAGTTTTGTTAAAGCTGCGGAAATTGACAAAATTCTCACCCATTTCTGCGCGTTAGAGATTGCAACCTTTGGATCCCTGTGCTCATACAGTTTGCTAATCCTTGATTTCTATATGTACAATACATACGTATTGCATGTATTGTACAGTGGGACTCATAAAACTGTGGAATAGGAAGACGATATATTAATTAATAGCAATCTTGTGTGTATTTGATGTTGATATACAGAAAATAATTTTACCTCTTGCCTGACAATTAACTTATTCAATGATACGAAAAAAATGCATGACCGTGTTTCACGTTCATTGGGCTTATTTAATATCATATCTATTCGACAGTTTTATAGGTTTCACTGTATAAGTTGAGTACGATTCATTTGTCTATTTTTAAACAACCAGTGGCCGAATTTAAAGAATTTGAGCGGCGGTTTAGATTTAAGCCGCGGCTTTAATATGGTTGGTTCCACTTAAAATTGTATCAAATGTTTCAAGATTTAAACCGGGTTTTGGCAGATTTAAACCGCGGCTCAAATTCTTCAAATTTCATCTCAGAAGTCTGTGGAATGATTGTCGTCTTCATATTTCTTCCAAAGAAAAGTTGATTTTATAATAATATTTTCTTTTAGTTAAAATAGGACTCTTCCAGTTTGTAATTAAGGATTCATAATCAGACATCTTGGCATAGTTCACATAAACTCTAAGATGAAAAGATGTTCGCTGCAAAAAAGTAAAAATTGAGATAAAAAGGATTAAAAACGAAAAAAATTACAAGAATAAGAAAAATCATAAAGTTACCCAAAAAGTATGAGACTTTAATGACACTAAATACTGTAAAGTTTGGTTTTAAACAACATATTTTTAAATTTTATTATTTTTATAAACTTACATAAAGTGGCGAAGGACCATGATTTCAAGTATTCAAACTTAAAAGATTCGTACAGTCGTCTCTGAAATTACACAATTTTGTCAAATTGTAAATGTTGAAAAATGAAAATTAAGGAACAGAAATAACTGTAACTTTTCTGGAATCCAATCTTTCGCCACCGAACCTCAAAGTACTCTCGAAGCCCGCTCTGTATATTTGACAAAAAAAAACTTTAAAACTTAATTTAATAACTTTTCTTGAAAATATTAAATAAAGTCAAAATTGTATTCTGCTTATAACTTTATATAGTTGACAGCATATTTTGACGTATTTAAATTAACTGATTAATGTAAAACTTTACGAAATACACTACATTAAACTTCTCTG